TGTGTTCCAGCCCCAGTCACTGGGATTCTCCTGTTCAGGGCTTGGGGGGCTCCTCTCACTTCCTTCACGTGCTGAACTTCCCGGAGGCACTAGGATTTTCACAGGTTCGATGTTTTCTCCCATCGCATTTTTGAGTGCATTTCCCCTGCTCCAGTTATCTGCACAAATTTCCACAGACTTCTCAGGAACTGCTTCTTTCTCATTTCCCCCACTCTCATCGATACGGCCTTGACTGCCATTTTCTGATTGGGCATGCATAACAGAACCTACAAAACAAGTTTCAGTATATTCCTTCTGGGTGTCCTCACTTGATAAATTATCCATTGGGATAATTGGTTTATTATAAAGCAAGTATCTGGGTTTGTTTAGCTTCTATAATTGAAACTTTGTTGCTTTCGGAGCTCAGAGCTGGGCCACAGCAGGCGGGGAACCTTGGCTTCCTCCATCACTGGAGCAAGCAAGCCTCATGTTTGCTTCAGCTGCGTGGCTGCCGGCCGCCATCTTTGTTGGCAGTTAATTTGCATATCTCGCTGATTAGCCAATGGGAAGGGTAGCGAAGTTATGGTTAATTACCATGTTTCTCTATTATTAGATAGGATTATATGTTTGTTAGTTTGTTTTCCCCTACTGAATTATAACTGTGAGGGCAAGAACTTTGTTTTATTGAAAGCTGTATTCATTTTGGTACATAAAACAATGTCTGACTTATAATATTCAACAAATATTTGGTTAAATGATGACTACATTAAGGTGCATGAGGGCAAAAAAGGTTTTTTAGGGGGTATCTGTTTGATTTTTTTATTTTATTTTTTAATTTAATTTTCTTTTCTTTTTAAATATATTCAATTGATTCCCCACAGAAAGGAAGGGAGAGGAACAGTGAATCAGAAACATCGATGAGAGAGAAACATCCATCAGCTGCCCTCTGCACACCCCCTACTAGGGATGTGCCTGCAACCAAGGCACATGCCCCTGACCGGAATCGAACCTGGGACCCTTCAGTCCACAGACCAACGCTCTATCCACTGAGCCAAACCAGTTAGGGCTAGTTGGCAATGCCTCATTGAACTTTTGTTACCAAAGGCATCTAAAATCTTATGCTTCTTGCCCTAGCCAGTTTGGCTCAGTGGGATAGGGTGTCAGCCTGCGGACTGAAAGTCTTGGGTTCGATTCCGATCAAGGGCACAAGTCCAGGTTGTGGGCCCGATCCCCAGTAGGGGTGTGTGCAGGAGGCAGCCTATCAATGATTCTTGCTCATCATTGATGTTTCTCTCTCCCTCTCCATCTCTATTCCTCTCTGAAATAAATTAAAATATATTAAAATAATAAAATCTTATGCTTCTTTTTGTTAAGCTATATGTGAAACGGAGCCTGAACAGCCTGTTCGACATTATCCATTATGGGTGAAGGTAGAAGGTGAAGTAGATCCAGAACCAGTTTATATCCCGACACCTTCTGTCATTGAGCCTACGAAGCCATTGTTGTCGCCTCAGCCAGAAGTTTCATCTACTACTGTGAAGGGCAAACTGCTCACTGGAATTAAACCTGCACGGACATATACTCCCAAACCTAATCCTGTGGTAAGTCTGGAGTTTCATGTTTTATTGCAAGTTGCAAAAATCATTTGTAAAGATGATGGGTTTCAACCAATTTTTAAAAATTCTTTTCCTTTTTATTTTATTTTCCCCCCATTTCCATTTATCCCCTCCCTATACCTTCCTTGACTTCCCCCCACACCCTCCGCAATCACTACACTGTTGTCTGTGTCTGTGAGTTCTTTCTCTCTTTTCTTTTTGCTCAATCCCTATACCAAATTTTTGGTTTATATTCTATGAATCATTTTGCTTTCAGGTAATTTGCCTGTAAGCCATCTCCTTTCTGGTTTAATTGGTTTAGTTGCTGGCACTTAAAAAATGTCATAAAAGAGGTTACTAGTAGTAATTCTTAAATGTAGCCAAATCTCTTCTTTAGGAAGATTGTATAAAGATGGGCTTTTTGAAAACCTGATTTGCAAAAGTCCGTTTAACATATCTTATTCCTGTAATGTAGTATATTGAGTAATTGAGATGTAGTACATGTTATTGCTAGAAAACCATTAAGAAAAAAACTTTAAAAAGTAAAATTTTCTTAAAGCAAATTTCTTTATATATAGCAATAACAGTAAAGTTCAAGAGTTCAAATAAAAGTGGTTGTAGTATTATTATGTGAAGACCGACAGGTAAAAGAGCTGGTAAGCATTTTTGATTACTAAATCCATTTCACTCTTCCCAGTCCATTAAATTGAAGAAAGATCTTTTAGTGCAGTGCCCTTCAGTGGGTCTCTGTATTAGTGCTGATCCAGAACTGTTACCCGTCTGTGATGAAATAAGTACATATAGAAAATAAGAGTAAATATTTAGAAACTTTAATAGCAAGTTGATAGATATTTTATATCTATTAAATCTAATACTGCAAAACTTGTGCTTATATTTTGGCCTTTGTTTTTCCAGTAATCTATTTTGTATTTTTCTAGTAATTACTTTTGTATTTTACAAAAGTATTAGTCTATGTTAGACTATTAATTAAGAAATGTACTTTACCACAGATCATTTGAGAAACACCGATATGATCTGAAATTTCTTTTTTCCCCCTTTATTAAGGTATTACAAATGTGTCCCTAAGAAAAAAAAATTGTAAATATGTTTTTATTGATTTCAGAGAGGAAAGAGGAGGGAGAAAGAGATAGAAACAACAGTGATGAGAGAGAATAACTGATTGGCTGCCTCCTGCACTCCCCCCACTTGGACATCGAGCCTGCAAACTGGGCATGTGCCCTGACCAGGAATTGAGCTGTGACCTCCTTGTTCATAAATCGACACTCAACCTCTGAGCCACGCCAGCCAGACTGATCTGAAATTTCTTGATAGAGAATTCATTCCTTTCTGATTCTCCCAAGATTCAGCACATATGAACTATGTTTATACTATTTAACTTTAAAGTTTTCATTTAAAAATTTCAAGTGTTGTAATAAGAAAAATTAATCATCCTTTGCCTTTTGAAGTATAGGCAACTTCCCCTTCCTCCCCCCAATATTTGGAATATTTTATTGTATGAAACTTACAGATTCGAGAAGAGGACAAGGATCCAGTCTATTTGTACTTTGAAAGTATGATGACTTGTGCCCGAGTTCGAGTATATGAAAGAAAAAAAGAGGAACAGAGACAGCCGTCACCATCCCCATCCCCATCGTTTCTGCAGCTCAGCTCATGTCATTCTAGTCCTGAGAACTGTAGTGCAAAGGTGAGTTACTTATTGCATACTTTCTCTTTTTAACTTTCAATTCCCTGTTGCTGGTATTAGAATTTGTATTACTACCAGAATAATTTGGACTAATTCTTGTGAGGCAGAGAAGGCTTACTTGATGTGTATATCAACATATCTTCCTCTGCAAACCTATTCTAGAGAACAGTTTCTTAGGGTTGATAAAAATATTACTCTTTTTAATGCTAGAAAATTTTTTAAAAGTTTAAACATTTCTAGTTTAAATTAAATTATCTGTAATTATTAGAATTTGCATCTTTCCACATTGGTGAAATTTCTAAATAACTGAAACTTGGTCCATTAAACAGCAAATATTTTTCCTTCTTTAGTAGAATACACTATAAAATACAGTTAATTTTTTTCTTGGTGACTCAGTCATTATCAAGGATATTACAGAGCAAGTCTGTGTTTTTGCCAAGGGCTACGTAATATGATAGTAATGCAGCTGTGTATATAGATATGAAGCTGTTGTTATTTTAATCTTTCTACTGTTTCAGGGCTGCTTTTGGAAGATTTAATGCTTATATCTCAGTCTGTGTTGATACTAAATAAAAGCATTTAAGTATTTCTGTGTTATTTCTTCTTCAGGAGCCCGATGCTGAACAGCAGCCCTCGAAACCAATTACCTGTGACCTCGAGGATGATTCTGATAAATCACAAGGTCAGCATGAAAGCTAGATCTTAATCATTTGATAGTAATTATATAGGTGTGGGTTTTAATAAAAATGATGGGGCCCTAGCTAGTTTGGCTCAGTGGATAGAGTATCGACCTTCGGACTGAAGGGTCCCAGATTTGATTCCGGTCAAGGGCACATACCTGGGTTGTGGGCTCAATCCCCAGTGAGGGGCATGCAGTAGGCAGCCCATCAGTGATTCTCTCTTATCATTGATGTTTCTATCTCTCTCTCCCTCTCCCTTTCTCTCTGAAATCAATAAAAATTTATTAAAAAAAATGATGGGAAACTAATATTACCAATCCAGAATATGTTGACTTACTCTGTTTTTAGCTTCTGCTAAAAAGAGTTGATATATCAGTTTTTCCTTGTTATTTGGTCTCTGTATCACTCCTGTTGTAAGAAATAAAATTCATTTATTGCTGTGGTATGTTGTTGAAAGAGACATTTAGGATTGAAGTCAGTGATTTTCTTTTTAATTTTATTTTTCAATTACAGTCTACATTTAATATTTTAATATTATTTTGTATGTTTTAGGTGTACTGCATAGTGGTTAGACGATCATAAACTTTACAAAATGTTTCCTTCGATATTTCTAGTACCTACCTGGCACCATACATAGTTATTACAATACTAGAGGCCCAGTGCACAAAATTTTGTGCACTTGGGGGGTGGTCCCCTCAGCCCGGCCTGTGCCCTCTCGCAGTCTGGGACCCCTTGGGGGATGACCACCTGCTGGCTTAGGCCTGCTTCCCGGGGGATTGGGCCTAAGCTGGCAATCAAGACATCCCTCTGGCAGCCCAGCAGCCCTCAGGGGTTTCCTCAGAGGCAGCGGGGAGCAGACCTAAGCTGCAGTCGGACATCCTTAGTGCTGCTGAGGAGGCAGGAGAGGCTCCCACCACCACCGCCGCACT